TCCGCGGGATGAGGGCCAGGGAGGGCAATTGCTTCCATAATAGATTCTCCCTTTAGCTGCTATAGTATATTGGGGTTATATAGGGAGAATGGAAAAGAAAATGGAAGCTACTTTAGTATAGAGGGCTGTCTTAGTATATTGGGATAGTCGAGAATCAAATGGAAAAGAAGATCGAGATTAAAAAGGAAACCCTAGGTCCCTTTAATTTAAAGGGGTATATAGGGACATTACTTTAATGGAGAATCAAGTGGAAAATGAAATGGAAACTGGTATATAGTATAATGTAGTATATAGGGGTTATATAGGGATAATGGAAAAGAAAATGGAAACTACCATCATGGGGTTATCCAGTATCTTGACTACTCGCAGTGTTTGTCCGTCAGCTTGGGTTCAAAGACGCAGACATGTTCCTTGTGCGTACCCGAGCAGCCCGGGGTGCAGGATCTCATCAGCTACAATGCAGCTTTGGCCGCCTGTGAGGCGGAGATGTGTGGCCATGAAGCTGGTGGACATGGAACAAGGAGTAGGCAGGCCCCAGGCAGAGGTCTCCGAGTTGCATGAAAACACCTGGGCTCCATCCTAATCATGTTGCTTTCAGGCAGCAGGGCTGTGGCAAACCGTGCAGCAGCTGCTGAGGTGCCTGGGCTTTGATAGGTAAAGGGTTTGGGGTTTGGGATAATGGAAAAGAAACTGGAAACTACTATATTGGGTTATATAGGGGTTGTTGAGGGGTTATTTTGGGGTTATATAATGGTTACTGTATTTTCATGTCCGATACTCACAGCACAGTCCGCACCAGAGAGTACGCCCGAGCATGCCCGGACGCTGTGTATGCCTGAGTAAGCCAAATCGTGCTGAAGTGCCGCGTACAGCAGGCACACCGGTAATCTGAAACAAAACCCGCTCCGGGTCAGGGGTCGGGTGTGAACTCAGTATGCAATGAGCGCACACCGAGCGTGAGCACGCTACGCACAGCACAACTCTTGAAACCCATTCCACTTCTGGAATGACCTTTGTCACCGTTGGACCAATATTCTGGACCGGCAATGTGAAGTTTTCTGCCCTTGGTGGGGCTCGCTGCGCACTGGACAGCTATTCATCCATTTCGGAGTCGCATGTTCCCGACAGCATTCAAGGGCCAAAAGGATTTGAGGCGGTGGAAGCTGATAGGGAGGAGTGGCACTGCAGTGTGTCAAGCACTTCGTGCATTCGATAAGAGGCAAAGGAGGGCACTAGGTCAGCATGTGGAGACAAGACATCTGCGGCGGGCCAGGTGAATGCAACAAATGAGCGACATGCTAATTGCTACGCCTTAATTAGATTTCGGCGATCTCGTTGCAGGCATTCAAAACCCTGTAAAGCAAAGGGATAGTACAAAGCATCTTAAAGCAGGCGGCCGCAAATCGCTTACGCAGTCTTCTAAAGTCAAAAGAGGCTCTCAAAGGCACGAAGGCAACTGAAAGCTTCTTCAGCGCTATGCACTTTGTTAGCAAGCGCTGAAGTTTAGGAAGCGCTTCTTTCAGAACCCAGCTGCAGAGTGGTGGAGCTTGCGCCTTCATTCCTGTATTTCAACTCCAGTATCAGAAGCAAGCTTCATGCCTAGGCAGATGACGAAGTCTGCTTTGGAACCGGACTGCGCGTAGGAACGGTGGTTGGCGGTGTCCAGTTTTGGAGCTGGATTCACGCGTAGTCTCAAAAACTGCCTGCAACCATCCGTAGATCAGGCTGAAGAAATGTGTGAAGACCGGGCATGCTGGAGTTGGTGTGGTCGTTCGTTTTGCATATGTCCATGAGAGCTTCAAGTACCACCATTTTGCCGACCCTGCGTAGGCCCGCAATCAACTCCAAGCACCCAATCTGAACCAGGACTCGCAGAGCTTTCGGGTAGCCATTGGTTCGTGCGCAGCAGCAACTCGTTGGCGCGAAGCTCTGGCGCAGCCTGGCATTGCCATGAGATAAAGCGGCTCTTGGTCTCTGTGTGGTCTAGACTGAGAGGTTGTTGAGTCTGGTCGTTGTGTGTAGGAATGCAATACTAGAAAGCTTCCGGAGACATGCGCAGTGCTGACTTAAACACGTTGATCCTATCGCTAGACAACCGTGCCGGATGTTGCATCGTGAGCTTATAATATAATATACAGTGTAATATAGTATAACATAGTAAAGTATACTATACGATGATATGGTATAACATAGTATCATATACTATAATATGGTATAATATTTGAAGTATTTTATTTATTGTAAAGGGGGAATATTTAAAATAATGAAAATAATTAGCATAATTAAAATACAATCTTTCTGCAAATGATGTGGCGGACGGCGCATGCTGTTTACGAGAGTGCTGCGCGCTTGCTGATGTGAGTGAATGCCCTGACCTGCTCAGTGCGGGATGCTGGAGGGTTGCAAAAAATCCATTATCTAGACATTTTAAATATTTTCAAAGGAAAACAAATATTTCTTGGAGCCGTTTGCCGCACGGGCCTCCATCCTCAAACCTAGGCCTCTGGAACCCCAGGTGTGTGAGTATTGTCTCTCTGAAGGCCAGTCTCTCTCAACTAGCTTCCAGCTTGAGGGAGACGTAGGGTGAGCGAGTGGAATTAGAGTGGGCAGGAATGATTGGTGCAAAAGGAAGAGAGGCGCAGGAGGTCATCAGCTTCCTCTCGCAGTCCACCTGTCACACTAGCCGTCCAGCCTTGCGTGACTTGTCTCACCTGCTTCACTCGCTCTCCACTTGCCCGCTTTCACTGCGCCTAGCCTTCTCCACATTTCTCCCGCTGACGCCTTACTTGTGCCACTTGCGCACCGCTTGGCCCGTCCACTTTACCAAGCCACCATCTCGGGGCAAGTGGCAGGAATTGGTTTCCCAGCCAAGTACCTGATCAAGTGGGGCAAGTGGGGTGCAAGCGGTTACCATCAGGCACCTGTCTCCCCCGCGCACGTGCGCTGCTCTCTTTGCGTTCGCCTCATCTTACTGTTACTGCCATGCTTGTAAGTTTTGAAGCCCAACGCCAAGTCTCCCTGAGGCTGGTTCCTGAAGTGATGGACAGCTTTGTGTGCAACTTGGAAGATCAGGTGTCATTGCATCGGGTTGAATTTGAAGCAAGCAGACGAGACAAAGACTGCGATTGTGTATTCGACAGAAATTGCGCATGACATTCTCCTTCATACTGAGGCTGGATTCAGGTAAAGTTGTGCACGGCTGCATTCGCAGTTTTGGCGTACCGCTGGACTCACGGGTAGAAGGCAGTTCTGTGACAGTCCTTTGGTTTTGCTGAAGCTCCTTCCCTGATGCAGATTACGCAATCAAGACATGACTGCTGTAACACTAATCACATGCCTCAAAGAGCTACATTCCTTCACAGCACTTTTGAATCTTGGCTTGGTCCCACTGCCAGAAATCCCTGATGATAGATATGCAGAAATCAACAGCTCAGCGGGTGAGGTGGGGCGTGTTGCCGAGCGCTTGGAGCCGCGCTGCTTTGGGCAGAGGCGGCCTTACATAGCGAAGGGCCGCTCATTGAACTTGACTTCTGGAAGAACGGAGATTCAGAACTGCAAGCCACACGGGCATGAAACTGCGGCCAAAGCCAGGCACTTGCTAAACTGCTGGGATGCAACCGGCACATGGCTACGCCTTTATTGCAACGCACGCGTTTCCATGAACAAGCAGGGCTGCTCAAATCCAGGCATTTGCAGGTTCCAGAGTCATTGAACTGAGCAGCTCTGTGTAGAACAATTCGTGACCTCTGCTTTGCGCTGAGCCGCCGTATTGCAAGAAACAGCACTTGACGCGCTTGCGGTCTTTGTGCAGGCGTTGGACTTGATTATGCGCTGCGCTCAGATCTTCAACTTTCTAGGCCTGACATTAGCAGGTTCAGACAGCCAGCGCCTTGCGCTCTGCACAACTTCATGATTCGCCCGAGACTTCGAGCTAAGACCAACACTGCTAAGGTCACCAGGCATCGCGCTGAGCGAGGCTCCTCGACTTTCTCAAATGCATGCGAGCATGTCGGTTTGGTACTGCCTAGCTCCGCACTCCGTAGCATTAGATCTGCAGCTGAGTCCTTTGCATGTTGCGCGATTTGATCAACTGTGGCAGTTAGGCGTTGTCTACAAGATAGTTTGTTGATGTTTGTTGTCTCCGGGCGTGCTCTACTTGACATTACGTGTTCATGGCCAGCAAGACCGCTCAATCAAGACAATGTTGACTCTGACACTGTCTGGCCTCATGGTTTGACATGTTCCATCGACTGCCACTAAAGCCTCTGAAGCTCCAGTGCGACTGTCCATGCAGCCGCCCAGCGAAAGCAAGAAAGCCTGGATGGAGCCCAAAGCCACAAGACAGCAAAGCTAGGTGGCCGTCAGCTGCACCATCCGCGCTGCAGGGGCCGCACATCGCTGGCAGGCGCGACCAGTTCGGGGGTTTCTGCTTAGTGGCTTGAAGTGTTTGCTGATGGTCCTTCCAAGCTGGGAGTCCGACTCCGACCTCTGGATTATGGATTCGGTTCTCTCACCACGACTCTATGAAGGAGAGTTGCGTTGGGCATAAATCTCTGGTCTGGAAAGCCCTATTTAAAGTGCATGACCATGCATGCGCAGCGCTTGTCAAAGTGCCAGCGTTCCCAGCTTCCTCCTGGCTGAAAGGTGGCCACGAAGCTGTTGGAGAACATGGAGGCCGCTAGCATGAAAGATATTCGAGGCTAAGAGCGGACTGAGCAGACGTTTATCAGCCCCTGGCCATTTTAGGACCATTCCGTGCGAAAGAATGAGTTCGGCTTTTCCGCAGCGATCGATGGCTGCGCAAAAGCTTCTCAGCATCTAGCCTTTATGAAGCCAGCACATGTATGCTAAGACTTCATTCCCTTCTATCGCTAGCTCTCTCTTGCTGTCTGCATATCGGCTTCGCCCTTGACATGTTGGAGCGGTGGTCAACCCTTGCTAGCAGTGGTCTTTCTTAGCCACTGGACTCATCTTGCGAAATCCGCAGCCCCTCGGCAAGGTGGCATCGCGCAATGAGCATCTTCATGTCGCCGCACGGCTGTGAAGAACATGAAAGCAGATAGCTTGCACAAGAGGATGCCAAGATCCATGAGCTGCTTGAGCTCCTGACATGGGCCAAGGATGCCAGCAGCCTCTGTTCGGTGCAACCAAGTCTGCGTCTTGACCGCACCTGCAGAACCAGGCATGCGGCCTTGCTAGCACTGGCTTGACTTACAGAGGTGCAAGCTTGGGAGAGCTCCCAATGCTGTAATTCACAACATTTGTAGCCTTCCTTGTTCCGCCAACATGCGTAACCTTTCAAGAACCGCAAACATTCCAATTTGCGAAGGTTTTTGGGTGTAGTAAGGGGACCCGCGCAGATAATACTAAGCCCCTGCTATGAGCAAAACGCATTGGGGGGTAGTAAAGGGACCCACCCAAGAAATACCATGCCCATACTATGAGTGAAATGCATTGGAGGTAGTAAAGGCACCCAATTA